TATCATGTTTGGTAAGGTGGAGGGTCAGAGAAAAAGAGGAAGATCCCCAACGAGACGGACTGGCAAAGTGGCAGCATCGATGGACTCAAGCTTGGCAATAGTAGTGACATTGGCCCAGGGTCAGGCAATGTTTCGTTCTGCTGTACATAAGGTTGCTATGGGTCAGTACCGACTTGATAGCACCTGACAACAAGAACAACAATGAATTATATATTCTAGAACCTCAACAGAAGCTATGCCTTTTCACAGATGGGCTAAGTGGTGGGTGGTGGTGTTCCGTGGAGTTGGTTGACTCACAGCGACCCTGTACAGGGTTTCCAAGACTGTAAAACTTTACGGGAGCAGAAAGCCTCATCTTTCTCTAGCGGAATGGCTGGTGGTTTCAAACTGCTGACCGTGAGGTTAGCAGCCCAACTTGTAACCACTATGCTACCAGAGCTCCTTCAGATAGGCTAAAGGCACAATAAAACTAATATTGCTAGTGAATGACTTAGAAGAACTCATGTCATTATGGACATAAATATCAAACAGAATTGCAGGAATGCATCTTCATAACAGTTACCATGCTTTATATACTAATCTTTATCATCTTTTAATTAACAAACATTCTTCATTTGGATAATAAAATAAAAGCTCATCTGTACAAATGAAAAGAAAGACTCTTGCTTCTGGGTAAGATGGAGGAGTAGGAGGATGTACTGAGCAGACCTCTGCAACAAAGAATGGGAGACCAAGTGAGACAGATACAGATGGGGATCCTGGCTACCTAAGCTTCAGGAGGGGGTGGAGAGAGTGCTGACAAAAGAAAGCTGAATAGAAAAAGCGAGAGAGAAGGAAAATGGGTGGACTGTGTGCTGGCACAGAACAGCCATTTTGAACTTTTATAAATGGCTGTTGATGCAGCAGCCTGCAAGAATAGGACTGCAGCTGCAGATTGGAGGCAAGGGAGGGGGTACCATTCTCCCTGTTCTATTACCTACTAGAAGCTGGGAGCACATTCACGTCTTAATCTTGCCACGTCAGTAGTCAGTGGCACCCCATCACGTGCTGCCTGGGATCAGACACCCCTACACTTCAGGTGGCACATAAACCCACCCTAAATTATACTGTACAAACAGCGAAAAAAGAACTATATTCACACTTCCAGTCTCTATCACATCCACCAGGAGACAAATGATAAGTACCTGAGAACATTTCTACATAACATCAATTAAACACTATAAAAAATTTCTCAGCAGAAATTATGCAAACAAGAATATAATAGATGACATATATAAAATTCTGAAAGAAAAAAATTGCCAACCAAAAATCATATACCAGAAAAATTGTAGGATGCAAACATTAAGGGCATTTCCAAAAAAATAGAAATTAAAAGAATTTTTTAAACCAGGCCAATTTTATAGAAAAACTAAAGGGAGTCCTCTGGACAGAAAACCACAACAACCTGAGAGTAACATACATGACAAGATCACCCAAAACTTAATCCACATATAGAATTATTCAAAGTAAAACAAACCTACAAGACTGAAAATAGGAAAACAGACATACCAGTTTGTAATGTGGTTACAGAATCTTCAAATAAAGAGGAAATCAAGTAGATATCAATTAGAAAATTTAAAAATAACCTAACTGTAACCCTAAAACTAGATCAAGCATTATTACTCCTTACCCTAAGACTAACTCCTATCTGTAACACTAATCCTAGTTAAAAAAAAAAAAGACAATTATAGATTTTAAATGTATATGTGTACCCCTAATCAAACAATTTCACGTCTACATATTTAATGAATACTTAAATAAGTAATCAAAGTACTATGTCCCAAGATGCTCACAAAGCATTTATATAAATAAGGGACATAACTCAAGTATTTATATACTCAATGTGAGATATATAAATAAATGTGATATACTGATAAAATACAATAGAGTATTACCAAATTTTATAATATTGAATAAACTAATATATACTTGTTATATTATATATATAACAGAGTCTTGATGTGGTATTGTAGGATAAGCACTAGACCACAAGGTCGTTTGAATCGTAACATTGATGGTTCAAACTCATCAGCCACTCCTTGGAAACCCTATACAGGGTAGCTCTGAGTCAGAACTGATTCAATGGCACTTAACAACAAGTTGAATCCGATTCAACGGCACACCACCACCATATATACTCATATGCCCGTGTAGGATCACTACTGGAATGCGAACCACAAGACTGGCAGTTCAGACCCATGAGCTGCTTGCTCCTCAAAAACCCTATAAAGGGTCATGATGAGTTGGAACTGACTCAACGGCACTTTGCAATAACAACAACAATGTGAATACCATCTAGCAGGACAGACTACAAAATGTTAACCATATTTATCTCTAAGGGAATAAGACTAGAAAGGGGGAAGTCTGCACCTACTTACAAACTGTTTATAACAGGCATCTACTACTTTTGTAAAAACTCTGAAAAGTTAAAAGCAATTTTTTAAAAATACCCAGAAAATGTTTATGTTCTAATCTTCCCATAGTTTCTATAAAAATCTGAGTCATTGCCACATAAAATATGTATAATATAAAAGTGGACAAATCCACTTTTAGGCGCTTACCTTTTAATTGTTCAAGTAAAGATCTCAGACAATTCTCTATTCGTTCTTGGATTTCCACTGTATCCTCTACAATTGAAAAACAAAAAAATTAAACCTTTCCATTCACTTTTTTTAGTAATATAAAGATGAAAAATTGATACCTCCAAGCAACTATGGGTAAGGAACATCTTTCTTCTAAATGCCTCTAACCATCTAAATCCCATAACTAAGACATTGAAACAGAGAGATGAAGGGAAAGAGAAGAAGCTTCCAGAACAGCTACCACCACCACCCCTCAACTTTTTCAAATTTGTTAAGTTCTAAATATCTGGCTATGTTTATTAAGTATTCAATGACAAAATCTAGTTAATACATGCATATAAGTGGACACTTACCTAATCCACTGGTATCCAACTCATAAATGTCACTAACAAGATGAAAGGAGCTAGTCTGGCACTGAGAACAGCCAGAATTCAAGAATCCAGCCATTCTGGTAGATACAGGACCAAGGAAAGGATACTGGAGAAGAAAGGAAAAAAGTATGTCTTTTAAGTAAGGTCAATAGCCTACAAATAAAAAACAAGACACTCTGGCAGCTGGATAAACCTATCTCACAGTCAGTTTTGAGCTCTGGATGATGAGCAAGCTGAAAACCAACCTAAATCATAATAGTGAAAATAAGAATGCTGGATTAATTTATTAAATAGCTAATAAAAATTAATTACACAAAAACACTATTTTAGTTTTGCTCATTTCCAACTGAGGAAGCCTCTACAATACTAAGTCTAAAATATTCCTCTTTCCACCAGATGCCTTAAAATGGGAGAAAATACTGTTATTTACTATTCATATACTCCTAACTTACTTTTTTTTAAGTCACAAATTTAATTATCGCTGTTCTAATGGTGTGGCGCTGTGGGTTAATGTGCTAGACTGCAAAGCCGTTTGAACTGAAATTGGGCGGTTCAAGCTCACCAGCTGCTCCTCGGAAACCCTATACAGGGGTCACTATGGGTTGGAATCAACTTGACAGCACTTAACAACAATCGTGAATACTTATTGACAATACCTGAATTTGCTTCTCAATAAATCGCTTTCCTGTATCCAGGGTCACCTCCAGCTGTTGAAGGAGCAAACGCAGTATATCAATCCGGGAGGATATACCATTCTCAGTGGTCTTCTCCGAGTTCTTTGGCTCCACCGGGTGGTTAAGACTTGGAAGTCCACTGATCAGCCTCAATGTTAAGGAACGGATCCTTAACCACACAGTCTCTTCCTCTAAAGAAAGTTTCTTATGTTCTTCAGAAACGTCCCTTAAACAGAAGCATCCAAATAGTCATTTTATTCAATCTGTTCCCTTCATATCTTTCAAATATTGGTTGGAATCAATCAGTTTGCTTTTGAATGGTCCCTACTTTCACTTACTAGCTGGGTAATATTGAACAAGCCACCACCTTGTGACTCTGTTTTGTTATCCATATAATGAGAGTGATAACCTACCCTGTTGTTGTTGTAAGTGCTGTTGAGTCAATTCTGACTCTTAGCAACCGTGTCCAGGAACAGCTAGTGGGTTTGAACTGTGGTTCGCAGTCCAGTGCTTATCGTACAGTGGCCACACCAGGAGTTGATAAGCTATCTAACATGTCATTTTACCCTTAAATGAAACTTCTTTCTCTGATGATAAAAGTAAAACATTAAAATGACAAAAAGTTTGAAAAATAAGGCAGAAAGTAATCTGGTGACCCAAACACCCACAACATTAATAGACTTGCAATAAGATCCTTTCACTCTTGCAATATGGATGAAAAAAATACAACCAAAAATAATTATTTTTACAATCTATTTAACAGTTTTTAAATAAATTGAATTCCCAATATTCATATTATTTTGTAAACTACAGTGTGTGAATAAACGTGTTGCTATAGTAGACCTGAAGAAACTCTAGTAGCACAGTGGTTAAGAGTATAGCTACTAACCTCAAGGTCAGCAGTTTGATACTACAAGTGGTTCCTCAGGAGAAAGATAAGGCTTTCTGGTCCTGTAAAGATTTACAACCTCAGAAACCCTATACAGTGTCACTATGAGTCGGAACCAACTCCACAGCATATAACCACCACACCACAGTAGACCTGATACAATTATTTACAGACAAGTCCATCAGCAAGGTTGGTCCTTGGCTCACATTTGGACATTCCCTAACTGATAAGAGTAAGAGTAGCTCATTATTTCTGGATTGTATGTAAAAACAATATGATTTGTGGGGGAACACCTGCTCTCCTTTTAGGAACAGACAGAAAAGGCCTACATAAGCAGCTAATGAAAACTGTGGGCACCAGGTCTCTAACAGCCTCTCTGTCAATGTTAATGCATTTTCTTTTAATGATGGAGGGAAAAATTCTCTCCATGTGGTTCTGTCATACAGGAAGAGCTCTGGAAGCCTGGGATGGAGTCCTCCAGGCACCACCTGTGTCTTGTTACCTTTTTCCCTTGCTTATCCTGCCATATCTTGTTTTCACTATAATAACCTCTGCTATAACTGAGTCTACGTATTGAATCCTAAAGGTCCTGCTAGAGAATCACTTGGAACTCAAAAACACAATATATTTAGAAATGCCTCCTAGATATCTATGTACACATGTACATGTATTTCTTAGATTTCACTTTCCTAGGAGTTGTTGTTGTTGTAAAACTATTGAACTAAATGGTATGCAGCATTTTTATTCTTCACACTTATCAACAAAATTACTAGTAGTAAGATTATATTATTAGTTTCATTTCTATATAATACACAACAATTAACATTTCCACTATAACTTTACTGAATCACAAATATTAATCTTTTCTCCCTTTGCCTAATAGGTTTAAAAAATTTTTTTATTGCTATAAAGTACACTATGACCTTCTGGTTAAGTATTTTGTCCAATTTTTTTCCATGGGGGGGAGGGGGCTTATATTTTACTTATTACTCTATTAAAAGTTCTTAATATACACTAATAGAATTATTATATATGATAAAGTGTTTACCAATTTATCCTATACCTTTGTTGCTGCTGTTAAGTGGTGTTGAGTCGATTCTGACCCATAGTGACCCTGTATAGTTTCCAAGGAGCAGCTCGTGAACTTGAACCCCCGACCTTGCGGTCCAAACTGACTTTGCAGTCCAGCACATTAGCCCACAGCGCCACACCAGGACTTCATCATATACCTTTAGAATTTAACAAATGTATTATTTCTATATAATGGTGTTGCTGTTAAGAGTCACTGAAGTTGGTTCTGATTCACAGCGATGCTGTGTAGGTTTTCCAAGGAGTGGCTAATGGGCTTGAACCACTGACCCTGTGACTAGTAGTTCAGAGCTTATCCTAAAGCACCACACCAGGACTCCTTCTGTAAGATAGAAGGTTAATAGTCACAGAAATCAAATCCTTTAAATTTCCAGTTTTGATACAGTGCTACAAAGGTTTTCTTCACCCATTTTAAAATATTTTCAAAGAAGTGAGGGGGGTGGAAGAACAAGGTAGACAGGGAAACACTGAGACAGATTTGCATGGGCTAAATGGGACAGAGATAAATAGTGATGCATGCTCACTCTTAGAACAACAGGGCTTTGGGATACAGGGATCTAGGCATAGTCTGAACAGGGGAAATACTACCAACATGTTTGTATATTTATAAATGTTGGTTTCCCGTGCATACTATTATAAAATTGAAACTTGAGTTGGATAGAAAGGAATGTCTGGAAATATGATTACAGTAAACTTGTAAGCCCATCTTCAGCCTATAATTGATTGGAATACCTAAAAGGGGTTCTACAACTTGCCCAGTGAAATAGGCCTCCTGTGTAGCCTTAGCAGTATAGGACCTTAAGTGGAATCCTGAGCCCTATCCAGAACCTTCTGAGGTGGGACATTCCCACTAGAAAAGACAAGCTGACCAGCCTGGAACACCTAGAGCAACAAAGTTACATCTTTAAAGAACAATCATCATGAAAAACCATAAACAAAAATGGCAGTATGACTGGGTACTATAAAAATAAGGAAGTTGTTCACCGGGAACCCAACAAAGCAAGACAAACCCCGATCTAACACTGAAACTCAAAGGGTACACATAAGCAGCCATGTAATCTGCTGGTACCCATGTTGGTCTACTGCTGAGTGGAAAAGGGGGAAAGGCAGCAATGAAGAAATTGGCTGAGTTCAAACACGGTCCACAGACTCCCGTGGACCTGGAGATGGGAGAGAAAAGAAGGACTGGTTGGTCCAAAATGTGGTGACACCTGAGCTTATGGACAAGGACATAGCCAAGAGGGCTATAGCTGACAGTGAAGCATCCAGCTGATATAGATAGGGATGGGCAACTTAGATACTGACTACCTAAAATGAGGGGACGATAAAGGCATGAAGTGACTGGATTACAAGGTTTCAAGGGGGAGCTTAGTTTAATAGTGTGTGTATGTGGGAGGGATAATTTTCAATAAGAGGGGAATTTCAAAAATTCGTAGATGACTTCTGGCAAGATGGCACGCTAGACAGACACACAACAACAAAGACATGAATGATCAAAAGAAACAAATACAAAAGACAATCCTGGAACTATAAGCTTCAGAAGAAAGATTAAAGAAGTGTGAATACTGAATAAAAAACATGAGAGAGGACATAGGTGAATTGTCAGCTGGCTTGATACAGTACAGCCATTCTGAACTTTTGCAAGCACACTTTGATCAAGACATAAACACATACCAGTGCCTGGCATCAAGAAAGGTAGGACTGGAGAACAAACAATATGGTGGATTGAGTGGAAGTGCAGTGAGCAGCTCTGTCAACAACAACACAGAATACCGGACACCAAGCAGGATCAGGGGAAGGTGCCAGAACCCTGAACCATATATAAAGGAATATTTAGAAGGTTGGAAGGCTTACAGCTAGAGGAATGGGTAGCAGAAGTAAGAAATCTATTGCTTTCTAATTCAAGATGCTCAGCTGCTCCCGGAGCCGCCATCTTGGGAGAGATCAAGCAGGGGCAGGATCACAGCAGCCAGACGCCTGACAGAACTGAGGAGATAACGGTCTGGACATTTTTTTTTTTGGTAGCTGTTCATTGGTCTCTCGCTGTCTGCGCACCTCCATTCTGGTGACTACAGGGGGTGCCTGAGCGAGTGGACACTCCATCCCCGGAGGATTCTGCTACATATATGCACAGATCTTCTCGACATTTAAAGTGACAGTTTCCACGTAAAACCAAACAGTAGCGCAAAACGGCCACAGCCAGCCCTGAACTGTTTATCACTAGGAAAAAGGCCTGAACTGGGGTTGTGGAGCAAGAAAGGCAGACTAAAAAGGACATAGGCTGAACATTAAATCCTGAGTTATGTCACAACAACCAACAATGACATCTTGAAATTTCTCAGGAAGAACAGTGAAAAGGGAAGCCCATCTCCTGATCACATCTATCTGGAGGCAATCAGAAAGCATAAAAAATACCAAAATATACACCCATCTAAGTATTAAGGCCACAGATAACTCCTGAAAATGCCCCCAAAACAGAAACAGGTGACCATATAAGCACATGTCCAGAAATGAGATAAAGTGAAAGAGGCAAATGAACTGGAAGTAGACCTACACTCCATACTGGAAGGCTTTGGAAATGCCTGAGAAGGAATTCAGAAAAATGATTATAAAATGTTTCATAGCACTATACAGTGGAGTTGAGAAAAATAAGGAAGAAGTCAGGAAAGCATTGTAGGAACAATCAAATGAGATAGCTACAGCATTGGAAACAATTCAAAACCTACAAAAGGAGCCCAAACAATTAATAACAGAATATCAGAAATGGACAAAGGAGTAGAACTGAAGAGATACAAGCCAGAACTAGTGTGCTAGAAGATAAATCTTCTAAGATAGAAGAGCAAGCACAAAAAAGGATGAATAATATCTGAAGAAGGCCTAAGATTCATGCTAGGCAACGTGAAAAGGAATAACTTAATAATTATTGGCATTCTGGAACAGGAAAAATCACACAAGTCCACAGAGGAGATAGCTGAAGAGCTTCTGGAAGAAATTTTCACTAACATCCTAAAGAACGAGAAAATAAGCATTCAAGAAACTCAACCAGCAGGACTTGATGGCGGCTAGGGTAGAGGTGCAGTGAGTTTTGCCATCAGCCATACCACAGAATACCAGCAAGTAAATTCACAGCAGAGTTCCAAAACTCAAAACCACATAGGTAAGAATATTTTAAAAGTTTGAAGGCTTATAACTAGTGAAACTTTTAGCACAAGTAAGAAATCGTGTACTTTTGAATCTGCCAGGCTTGG